TGTCTTTCGTCTTCTCTCTCTCTTTTCTCTCTCTCTTCTCTTTCTCTCTCTCTCTCTCTCTCTCTCTCTCCTTCTCTCTCTCTCTCTCTCTCTCTCTCTCTCTCTCTCTCCTCTCTCTCTCTCTCTCTCTCTCTCTCTCTCTCTCTCTCTCCCCCTCTCTTTTCCATATCTGTGTCTCTCTCAGGCCCCTTCCCCTCCCCTCCCTCCTCCTCCCTCCCTCCCTTCCCTGACAGGACCCCACATCCTCCTATCTCTCCATCCTTCCCAGGACTCCTACCGCATGCTTATCGCTCCTTCCCACGTGTCATCCCTCGCTATCCCTCCCTATCCCTCACTCCCTTTCTCCCCGATCCCTGCGCCTCCGGACTCTATCCCAACTTCTCTCCCTTCGCCTCGTGTCTTCCTCTATTCCTATCCCTCCCTCCGTTTCTCCCTCTTCCCTCCCATCCCTCTTCTACCTTCCCTCTCCCTCCCATCCCTCTCCCATCCCTTTCCCATCCCTCTCTGCCATCCACCTCCTACATGTCCTCTCCCTCCCTCTCTCCCCATTCCTCTCCTATCCTCCCTCTCTCCCATCCCTCACCTATCCTCCCTATCCCATGCTCCTTCTCCCTCTCCCCCCCCCCGCGCTGCTTAGAAGGGATTCGGGCAGTTCAGCTTTAACGTTCAGTGTTTTACATCAGGTTTCATGTTAGTTGTGTATCCTGTTATACTTCACCCCTGATGCCCTACAGTCCACAGGATTCAATTTCACTTCATGTCAAAAAAAAATTATTCTATTTCCCCCACACGCTATGGCAGTAGTACCCGGAACAAGTTGCTTGCTCGCACTCACAGACATGCTCGCTTGCACGCACGGACAAGCGTGTGGGTGTGTGCGTGTGGTGTTATGGTTGGGTATGCTGTTGCGTTTGCTATACATTCATGTAAAAATGTTGTTTCACGTTCTGTTAATGTGAACGCGCACGCACAGATGTACGTGTTCATAGAGCATATACACGTATACACGCACAACAAGCGCGCCGCGCGCGCACACACACACACACACACACACACACACACACACACACACACACACACACACACACACACACACACACACACACACCACACACACACACACACACACAACACACACACCACACCCACAACCCACCCCACAACCACACACACAACCACCCACAATCTCCCCCAACCTCTCATTTTTCCCTATATCTCCACTAAACGCCCCTTTCTCCCTCTTTTCTCCCTGCAGGGTGTCGCTGCCGTGCACAGGGAGGGTGAGCGCCGAAGTGACGGTCAACCTCCACCTGAACATAACCACGCACAGCCGGAACCACAACCTCACCAACATCACCATCAAGAGGAAGAAGATCTGTCTCAAAGGTGCGGGATGCTGCGTCAGCGCCCCCGGGATGTCCCTCCAGCCCGCGGGATTCTGGGATGGGAGATGCTGAGGCGGCGGTTCTTGGGATAAGATTTCTCTCTCTCTCTCTTCTCTCTCTCTCTCTCTCTCTCTCTCTCTCTCTCTCTCTCTCTCTCTCTCCTCTCTCTCTCTCTCTCTCTCTCTCTCTCTCTCTCTCTCTCTCTCTCTCTCTCTCTCTCCCTCTCTCTCTCTCTCCTCTCTCTCTCTCCCTCTCCTCCTCCTCTCTCTCTCCTCTCTCTCTCTTCTCTCCCTCTCTTCTCTTCTCCCTCTCTCTCTTCTCTCCTCTCTCTCCTTCTCTCTCTCCCTCTCTCTCTCTCTCTCCTCTCTCTCTCTCTCTCTCTCTCTCTCTCTCTCTCTCTCTCTCTCTCTCTCTCTCTCTCTCTCTCTCTTCTCTCTCTCTCTCTCTCTTTCTCTTCTCTCTTTCTCTCTCTCTCTCTCTCTCTCTCTCTCTCTCTCTCTCTCTCTCTCTCTCTCTCTTCTCTCTCTCTCTCTCTTCTCTTCTCTCTCTCTCTTCTCTTTCTCTCTCTCTCTCTCCTCTCTCTCTCTCTCTCTCTCTTCTCTCTCTCTCTCTCTCTCTCTCTCTCTCTCTCTCTCTCTCTCTCTCTCTCTCTCTCTCTCTCTCTCTCTCTCTCTCTCTCCTCTCTCTCTCTTCTCTCTCTCTATCTATCTATCTATCTCTCTCAATTCTACCAAAAGAAGTCGTAAAGCATGATGATAATAGCATTAATGATAATAAGAATAGAATATATTGTCAATAGTCTCATAACTTCATGCTCTGGATCCTCATAATACTAAAGATGAAAAGGAAAATAATAATGATATTGATGATATGATTGTAGTAGTTGTAATTATAACGTTTATCACTCATAGTTTTGTTTATATCTTCGTTAGCATTGGTGTGTGTGTGCAATTATATAATTGATATTGCTGTTAATGATTCATTAAGTAGGAGGG